TCCTATTCTCTATCAGGATTACAGTTAAGGAAGATTTACAAAGCACACCAGCTAAACTCATATTTGGTACACCCCTATCCTTACCAGGACAATATTTCTGTGACATATCAGATATGATTTCAACCCCAGTGACCCCATGTATACAAGAACTATGCAACAAAATAGCACGGTTGAAATACACACCAACACAACATACAATAAAAGATCTTTACATACTAAAAGCCTTCAAGACAGCAGGTATATTTTTATATGGTACAATGCAATTAAATGACTACTCACACCCAGTTACCAAGGTCCCTACAAAGTTATCAGCCAACCTGATAAATACATAGCAATCAAGTGTGATAACATTACAGACACCATCGCAATCAACAGGACCAAACCAGCATTGCTGGAAAAGATGCTACCAAACACAAACCTAGCTTACCCACATTTACAACTAGATGCACCTCTCATGAGACAGAAAAAATCAGGAAAGAAAGTCACTTTTCCTAAGCATCTTGAATCATGCATAAGTTATTATTGAAAAAAAGACTTGAGAAAACCTATTTTCCTGAAAAATTGTTTCAAGAGAAAGATTTTACAGATTTCAACCAAAAACAGTAATGGCTGATTGGTCAATGAATGCCGAATGTTTACTTATAGGGAAACAGCTAATATTACCATTGCCATCCATTATCATTAATTTGAAATGCAATCTTAGTTGCATTAAATATAAACTGTTTCATACAGATTTTCATTGAAATTATCACCTTTGGTCTCCTTGATCATTGGTCTCAACAGCATTCTGCATAATTGCTCTCCAGGGGGATTATCCAGGGGGATTATCCATAGATGTTGAAAACTATTGTGTTTTTGTTTTACATATATAATATCTGCATCCCATGATTAATCATCTTTATAGAACTTCAGTTGGCTGAGTTTTGAATTCAGAGTTGTCCTTCACCTAGACTGATTGCCAAACAAGGCTAAAGAGTCCAGTCTGCCCTGTCCTGCAATATAACCATGAGTTTATACATTTCCGCAGGTGTATTTATGTGAAAGAGAATCTAATCAACTTGACTGTAATTCAAACTTTGTTTGGCAATTTCTCATAATGTCTCTTACTGAATTTGTCCATCAAGATTTAGGTAAGAACAATGTCGTTGTGGCTTTAGATATCTCAAAGACATTTGACAGGGTTTGACATTCTGGCCTTTGCCACAAATTCAAGTTATGGTGTCTCTGGCAGATTATTTGGCTTAATCTAATCCTTCTTAACAAATAGTGTAATGAAGTTCATGTTGAACAGTCATGCATCTATTTCATTTCACATTAACTCTGGGGTCTTCTAAGAATCTATCCTTGGACCTACATTGTTTCTTATCTTCACCAACAACCTTCCCAATGCCATAATTCCCAACCAGGTATTACTGCAGATAACACTAATATTTACTCCTCTCATAGAAGCAATTCTGATAAGCCTGTCAAAGTAAAATTGGCAGCTGCTCTTATAAAGACCTTCAATCAGTGGTTGACTTGGGCAAGGAATGGCTCGTAAATTTTAATGACCCTAAAACAAAACTGCTTTCATTTAATCACCATAGAGAACCATTTCTGCCTTCCATGGCAGATGCTAACCTCCAAGCAAATCTTTGTACCTTCTTGGACTATCATTTCCTACTGACATAAAGTGGAATGATTATATTGAATCAATTGCTAGATCTTCTGCTAGAAAATTCTGTCATGCCAGAAAATTTTTCTCACCAGAATCTATCTTCATTATTTACATTATTTGGACTATTGTCCTCATCTTTGTCACCATATTTATTACAATGTTTTGGTCGTTGTATGCTCCGGCCTTCTTCAGGTGGTTGGAATGTCGAACTGAACCCTTTATTTCACTCACTGGGGTAGACTGTTCCTCAAGGACACATGGCACAGTGGATAAAGGCATTAGTTAGATCCAGTGACAGGACCCAAAGAGTGTGAGTTCAATACCCAGTTAAGGCAGTGGAGAACTTTCAGAGGGAAAATTAACAGGAGATAACTGATAACTGACATCCATTAAAAAACATGGCACGTGGAACTAGAACAGTCTACCCCAGTGAGCAAAATAAAGGGTTCAGTTCAACATTCCAACCACCTGATGAAGGCCGGAGTGTACAACGTCTGAAACGTAATAAATATGGCGACAAAGATGAGGACAATAGTTCGAATAATGTAAATAATGTATATAATACCTCATCTCAGAGATATAGACAGATACTGAAGAATCCATCTTACACATTTATAAATCTACCATTCATCAATAATTTGAATATTTCTACCATATTTGGCCTACTATATCTCTTAAGATTCTTGACAAAATCCCAAAAAGTGTGTGTAATGTAATCAATATTGACCAGGCATCACAACTTTAGTTACTTTCCTGTGATGTGACTTCTCTTTATCTTTTCTACAAATATTTTCATGGTAATTGTTGCCATGGGGTTTCCTCCTTGATGCTTGACTGCATAAATTTAAGTTTAATATTAGATTGGCATTTAGGTGCCACACAGTTTTACTGTTGAATTAGCTAGATGCAACTGTATGCTCTATTCTAAGAGTTTCTTTCCTTGCACTTCTCACCTTTGGAACTCTCTTCTGGTTATTTGCTTTCATGCCACCTGCAATCTTCAAAAATTTAAATCCAATGCCAGTCACCATCCACAATTGTCTAAACAAAAATCAATGGGAAGAGCAAAAGATAGAAAAAGTTCAACATGGATCAGATAACTAGCCAAGATATCAGATGTGATTATATAACAAAAATAAAGGTGAGTAAGATACAGAGCAGAAAAAGAAAGGACAACAGCTGGAGCAAAAGGTTGCTTGATTGGTGTCTAATAGACAGCAAGTGATTCAATAGAAGGCTTTGTCAGTAAGATATAACAGAAGAATAGTCATCATGGAAAGTGTTGTGAAATTCCTTTCTCCAGCAATAGCTTATTTAATTTTTCTTCTTAGTGCCTAGACTGCATGAATTTAAGCTACTACATTGGCAACTGGGTCTCACCATTTTACTATTGAACTAGCTAGAGACAACTGCTACTTCTATTCTAATAGTTTCTTTTCTCACACTTCTCACCTGTGGAACTGCCTTTTAATTTCTTGCTACCCTACTATCTAGAATCTTCAAAAATTTAAATCATTGCCAATCACAATCTCTTGTCTTCCTGAAACCTGTTCTTTTATTGTCCTTTCTCCTCAAAAATGTTGTCTCATTCTTCCTCACTTCCAGTAACCCCTTGTGTCTTAGTGGTATTATCACTTGGCTTAAGGGGAAATGATTTAAAAAAATAAAAAGATACCAAATGTTACATACACACATTCAAACTAAAAGTTCATTATAAACAGCTTATGATTAGAGTATCATTAATTTCAATTACAATCCTATTTACATTAAACATAAGTTTTTGGATACAACTTTATCATAGAAAAACAGTAAGTTATCCCTAAATAATTTGTATATATAAAATTAAGAATTATATTTAATTTATTAAATTAATTTATTTATGTATTTTACTTCAAATACCAGTCTCTCTTTCCACAAAATAAAATTTAAAGAAGAATCTGCAATGTTATCAGTCCTGACCTGGCATCTTGGCTTCAGTCACTTTCTCCTTGCTGTAACATTATTTTTCATCTACCTTTTCTATAAATATGTTAATGGAAATGCTTCTGACGTGCTTTCCTCTTTAGTATCTTTATTTATGAATTTAAGTCCTGTACTAGATTGGCAGCTAAGTCTCAGCAATTTAGTGTTGAAATTGCAAGATGCAACCATAAGTTCTATTCTAATAATTTTTTCTCTCACACTTCTCACTTATGGAACTTTCTTCAAGATCATAGTTGATGCAATGCAACATCACTCATCATCTTCTCTCTTCCTGAAACTTGTTCTTTTATTGTCCTTTCTACTCAATAAAGCTTATCTCTTTCACTCTCAGTAACCTCCTTGCATCTTAGTGGCTTTATCACATTTCTTGGGGGTAGGATAATTTAAAAAAAATAAGAACTTCAGAAGAGTGGTTACAAAATGATCTTTCTTTATCTTTTACAATAATGTTCACCCTTTCAAGGCCCATAGTGTATTACAGAGTGTTGTAACCTAGGAAAGGTTACTGAATAGAATAATCAAACGAAGGTTGGTAATGAACGATAATACTTAGGACAAGAACAACACATATAAGATTCGCCAGCAGCACATAGAAGAAGTAGTCAACTGCTAGAAGTGAGTCAAGTGAATTCCGCAATGAATCTTCAACTGCAGGATATCTACCAACCGCCCCCTGTGGTCAGATGTGGCACAAGGCCGAATCTAATGTGGGGTATCCAAGCCCATACGCTTGGTCAAAAATTCCCCGTAGACCCTGTATAAAATGGAGTCGGTATCTGTTTTCTGAGATGAGACTCTGCATTTTGACATAGCCTCATCTGCGGATTCTCAGAGACAGAGAGTTTGACCAGCACAGCTGGAGACAAATCTCCAACCGCAGACCAACATACAGTATTTACTACTGTATTTATGTGAATGGGGACATATCGTCTGTAGGTATGCAATAACACAGAGTAAGAATCACAGTTTATGATGATATGTAAGGAAGATAAGTGTAACCCCAGACTTGAACATGTTAAGATTGTAGTGATTGAGGAATCTTAGTTTATTTTCAAAAAGTTTTATCTTCAGAGTAACATTTGGTCTGGTTGTTTGGTTCTTTTATTTAGCGCTATATCAACCTATATAGGTTATTTAATGGTGAAATCTAAATATTTTTTGTACAGAATTTTATTTTATTTTTAGAGATACTAATGGTTTAGTGATACAAGTCTAATTAATTAACCCATAGCTGGAGGGAGAAGAGGTGGATTCATACTTTTCCCAAGAATATTTGCACTTAAGTGAATATAAGGAACCTGATTGGTAATGGAACTCAGCTCTCCATATCATTATCCATTACACCACCAACACATCCAAGCTTACAGCACCTTGTATTCCCAAGCGGTCACTCATCTAGGGACCAACCAGGCTCAAGGTTGCTTAACTTCAGTGATATTATGGGGAACAGTGTTTCAATATGATGTGGCCATAAACCAACAGTTACTGTAATGCTTACCTGTTTTAATTTTGGGAGATCAGTTTATTACTTAATAACAATAGAAAATTGTTCCCCTACGTTATCATAAATATACATATATGACTAACTACAAGATGCTGAAAAGTTTTCAGCACTACCAACTACTCAAAATCAGCTTCTTAAACATTGGTAGCTAATGCTCTCATTATATTTTTCAAGGGTTTCTAAAGATGGCGGACATATCAAAAACAAAAGCAATAATAAAAAATATTACCAAATAAATGAATCAAAACAGTAAAATCATTGGCATATTGATATAGTGGAAAAACAAACAAAATCCCCAATTAAGTTTATAAATTTGACAGCTCTGGTATTTCTTTTTTAGATTTTTCATTTACAATGTCTATTAGATTATTGAGTCTCAAATAAAGAGTCAAGTTCATTTCTCTGTTTAGTAAAGTGGATTATTTTAAGCAGAGGAGAAAAACACTTATTTCAGAATATCTTCAAGACTTATTCTAGCATTTTGGATCAAGTAATGATGCAAAGCAATGAAACAGAAATTAATTTGCTATACCCAATTTCTGAACAATCTATTTCTATTAAAAGAATTGTATATATATATATATATATATATATATTATAAAAGAATTATAAAATAATTATGTGTGTGTGTGTGTGTGTGTGTGTGTGTGTGTGTGTGTGTGTAATTTACTTGGATTGATGTGAGTTTATGACCCTGTGTTTCATGCTATTTGTTATCATCAGAGTTTGTCTGACAATAGCAAATAGTGTGAACTCAGGGTCACAAACTCACATCAATCCAACTAAATATGTTAGCTCTACCACTGATATTGAGCACTTTCTAATAAGTACCATGCATATATGATATATAAATAATATATATAAAAAATTGAATACATATATATTTATATACATACACATTTTACATATGTGTATATATATATATATATATATATAATAAAGCTACTTAAGTGTAAATATCAATTTTTTATATTGTTTCCATGACTTCAAAGTTTCTTGGAATTATTCTTCAAGGGGTCCGTTGTTTGTATTCAAACAAGTGTCCCCTTGAAGAATGGACAATTCCAAGAAACTTTGAAGTTGCAACAATAACAAAAATTGATATTTACAGTTTCGCAAGTTTATCATATTATAAATGCTTTATTTTTAATATTATTTTAATATTTTTAATATTGAGCACTATATGGAAATATCTGCTTTACTTTTGAACTATTATATTCTTAACTCTTAAATCTTATACATATACTAGCAGCATGGTCTGGCGTTGCCCGTGCTTGATTCAAAAATCGTACAACTCATACAGCAATCGCTATCACTTGACTTAAAATATTTTTGCCCTTCTATTGCCTTTAAAGGAGTGCCCTTTGCTGTGCTGATGTTGCTACATGCTTTACTTCTTGCCTATTTCACACTGCGAATTTTTTCTAAGCTCTATACTAAACATTAAATCTGTTACGAAAAAAGAACTCAACAAAATGAACATAAAACAATCAGCTTTAAAAAAGTACTTGTAACTGAAAAAACTGAATGAAAAAAGAATGTTAACAACAAATACTTTTTTACACCCAACCCAGTTCTGCAGAATCAGAATCAACGTTGAGTTTAAGCAAGTGAATGAGCCAATTGGAGTAAAGTGCTATGCAGATTTAAATTTTTCCCACATGTGACGAATGCAGCTATCAATTTTTTTGCATGCTAGCATGCTAGTTAACATTCATGTCAGTCAGCTGTTGGCTCTCACGCTGGCCAATAGAATCTTCCTGCCTATTCATGGCAGCCAGCTATAGGCTCTCACTCTGGTCAGTACAAATTGGCCACAAACTACATGAAAACTGCCATAGAAGCATGAAAAAATCGATTATTTCCACCATTGATGGGAGTTGGGAAATGCAAAGTTGGTCTTGGTCTTCCTGCTTAGTTGGAGCATGTGCATGTAAATTAATTATTTTCCTAATATCCTGCACCAACAGTATGACTCAAATTTTCATGCAATTAAAAAGAAATTGCAATTTATAATTTTTAATTTTAAGTGTAAGTTTGAACCTAAATTTAAATTTAGATTATAGTCTAATTAAATATTTAACAACAGTAGTAATTTAGTCACCTAACATCGCAAAACTGTGAGACCTGAAAATATTAAACAGATTTTGAATAGTTCTTTTGTACCTGATGAGTGGATGAAACTCTGTGTTTTACTGTTGGCATGGGGTATTATGTATATTTCTTAATATATACTTAATAGCTCTGTTATTTTGCATTGAGCACTGTTTTATTTACACCAGTGGATATATATATATATTTGTATGTGAAAATTTACACATACATTTATTTATATTCATTTGATTTTATTAATTTATTTTTATTATATATATATATATATATATATATATAATAAAAATAATAATAAAAAAGCTAATGGTCAGAGTTGAATTAGACCAGGAAACAGTAGTATTAAAAGTAGAATTTGAATTAGGAAGCTTTGTGCCCCCCACCCCACTGGATGCTTTGACTAACCTTTCAACAGCCTAATGAACATTCATGAATGTTCTCAAATCTAAAATCCTTGATAAACCAATGACATCTTTGCCTTTGTATATAAACATGTACAGCAAAATAAATTGCCTTGACAAAGTCCCTCAGAGGACAAAACCTTTCAGCTAAGAATAGTTTTTCCTCTTGTAACTACTTATCCATATATATATATATATATGCATATATCCAAGTAATAGGAAAGAACAGTCAGATTTATAATCCAAAGTTCTTTAGTATTTTTGTTTTATTTTTAAAAACAGTGCTCAATACGAATTAGAGCATAGAATTATAATTATTTTTTTTGAAAATATGTCTCCATCATGACACAGAAATTACTCTGTTTCAAAACCAAAGCTTAAATCTTAAAATTTAATTTAAAAATTAAACTTAAAATTTAGAGTACTGTTTCATTCTCAAGTGATGTTAAGAATAACTTACAAAGAAATCAGTTTACTATTGTTATAAGTTAGAAATGTTGGTGCTACGAGAGTTCCTATTTCTATGAATGAAGAGTGTAGGAATGATTATTGTGTGTCAAGTTTTTGGAGTTGTTTAAGGTTGGGTGGGGGATTTTTGTCTGGCTACACTGGCTTTTTTTATCAGGCTTTCATGATTTTAGTATCTGGTTTTATTTCTTTTCATTGAGGTCAATGTTACAATGTTTTTTGGTGTTTATTTATTTGTTTATTGTTTTTCTATAACCATCTGTCATCCTTTAATAATGCAGATAAACAAAATATGATTTCACTTTCTAAATATTTTTGGAAATTGCAAAACGAAAATAAAACACCTAAAGTTAAATGGAAAATTCTAAAACTAGCTAGAATCTTTAGATCTTTGAACAAACCATGTTTCCTCTGTCTATAGGAGAAAATGGAAATAATTAAGTTCTTAAATAGTGACATTTTATTGAATCAAAGATATGAAACAGCGGTAAGTTTTAAACACATAAAAGAATTAACTTTACAATTTTGCTAAATTTCTTAACCCTAGAATCAATCTTCTTATACTTATTATCTTTATAAACATTTCAACGATATCGTTAATTTATTCCCGTTTTAGGTATTATATTGGTTAATATTTGTAATTTACTACTTGTATGATTAGTCTTGATTTAGCTTATTAGTTTTATTTCAATTTTTATTTTTATTTTATTTTAATTATTTTTCTCTTGCCGTTTTAATATTACTTTCTAATTTAAAATTAATAAAATAATATAAAAGTTTAACATTTATTTTGTATTCTAATTTATAATGTAAAGAAGTAGGTTTTGTTAAGTATTGTATTGCTTCTTAAAGTCTCCTTTTTTGCATTCTATGGATAATTTTGTTTGAATATATGATTTCATATACAAATGCCATAAAATAAGAAGTGCGACATGCCTAAACAGTGTATCTATTCATATTGTGTTTCCGTTCAAATTTGAATTCTCTGATTCAGCATAAGTTCATTGGTTTAATTCGTATCAACATCTTTCTATTTCCTATCTTCTTGACTTTCTTCTTATGAATCTGGATAATTTTGAATATACTTCTCTATTTTCCTTGCCTTTCTTTTTTTTTCTTTTCTCTTTGTAGCAGGGTTAATTTCCTATGGTTTTTCTTGCCTTTTGTTTCTTTTTCTTTCCTTTTTCTTTTTTCTTTTATTGATTTCTTATCTTCTTTCCTTTTTCTTTATATAAATCCTTTTTATCTTTTATGGAAAATTTTCCAAAAATGGAAAAGGAAGTAATGTTTCATTAATTACAATTTTGAATAAGATTGTTTAGTACCATCATTGTTAGCCACCTGAAGAAATGTTTTATTTTAATGTCGAAACAAAATGTACAATTTTGTTGTGGATACTTACATGTTCTACTGTAGTAGTGTATATATATATATATATATATATATATATATATATATATATATATGTTGATAATAAGTATACATTTTTTCCTCACTGGCAGCTCAAATCTGAGTTTTATGCAGAACACAATCTTCAGGTGCTGATTGAAAACTGGTCAACACCTGAAGATTGCATTGTGCATGAAACTCTGAGATGTGCTACTGGTGAGGAAAAAATGTATATTTATTATTAATATATACTTTATAGCACTGTTATTCTACATCAAGCACAATTTCATTACCTCTAGCACTGAATGCATGTAGCAATAAAGTGTTGCTGCTGACACTTGAGTTTGAACATAGATTGCCAGTGAGCAAATACAGGTGACCCCATTATTGAATTAAGTAGATCATGTGACCATAGAGGAAATGTATATATGGGAATTAGCTTGGCATCTAACTGATCACCATTTCTAGTCCATCCTCTATTACTATATGGACTGCTATTCTCTACTCTATTCACTATACTCTTTCTCTGTACTGATCACTATATGGATTACTATTTGAGTGAGTATTATCGAGCAAGTACTGTTAGTGCGAGTGCTATTCG